GGATGTCCCTTGTCAGGTATGCGCAAGGTATCTTGAGTTGTGCCTTCAGGAGTCGAACTGCTGCTTCAGCTCGATTTGGCCATGGTGTATTTGGTCCCAGAGATATCGGAGTGATGTCAAGGGACTGATAGAAATTTTCCCATGTATCTGTCATGAAGGCTTGACCTGCGACAACTGATTTGGGCTGCAAGTGGTACTGGTCAAAATAGTTCCTGAGGACAGTGATGTTCTCGACTTCTTGCGTAGTTGTCACTGCCTCTGCAGTGAGCAATGTTGTTGCTCCATCCTGGATGACAAAAACAATGATGTGTTCTCCAGTTCCAAGAGGAACTTGACAGTGATCAATGAATGTCATGTCACCAAAGGTGTCCGCTCGAAGTCCGCCTGTCTTGCTTCGTGATGGTGCATGTTTCGCCGCTTGGCAAACTTCGAACTCACTTCGGATCTTGTCAAATAGATCGAATGTTGATTTCGGCAAATGAAGTGCTCGGGTTCTAAATCGAAACTGATCTGTCGTCATGTGATGATGCTGCAGGTGGGGTTTCTTCAATTCTTCTGGATTCGACAATCGCTTGTGGATTCTGCCTAGGGCAAGCGGAAGCGATGTTGGTTCTTCTGAGGATGGTGCGAAAGGATCTGGCTCAATAGTCGGCTGGCCCCTCTTGTCGATGATCCTGTCTGCTGCCGATCCTGAACCTGCTTCTGCGTCCTTCAGCGAATTGTCTGAGAAGGTGAAAATGGTCTTACCTATCCACAGGTTAATCATCGGTTTATTTGCCTGGGATGTAAGTCTCCAATTGTCTTCCAAGATATCTGGATCCCCACCTGTGGATGCATCAATGATCTCCGTGGTACGTTCTCGGCTGATGTGATCAGGATTGATTGGACATTCCTTGGCTCCATTTGGTGTGAACAGCGCCTTATATGCACACGGATGAGCTGCTTGTTCTTCTTGTCAAGGATCCAATGGTCCTGCTTTTGAGATCCAATGGTCTTAGGAGCTGCTAGGTCCTCCTTTGTCTCGGATGATTTTGCTGCACAAACAGTTTCGCTCCTGGTGAGATGCCCGGAGGGAAATTTGATGCTGTTATCATCGTCATAGACATAGTTGGTGAGGCCCTTGTGAGCAATTTCTCCATGTGCCTTCACTCTTGCAACTCCAGCGAGATCGACAAGTGCATGTCCTGTACCGGATACTGGAACTGCTTGACGGTTCATGCCAAAGGCCTTGCATGTGATCTTGTCACATTGAGGTGTGTGCTCGATGGTCATGTAGAGGTTCCGCATCTGGCTGATGCTGAGAAGGATCGGTACAGTTCCGTGTTCAAGGATGTCGATGTTCGTACTGCATGGAGGAGTTGTGTGATATCGAAGATGCAGGGTCTAATTTACCCTGGCGGTCTCTCCGTTTGCAAAAGTGAACTTGGTCTCGGCCGGGATGTGCTCGTAGGAGATGATGTCCTTCATTGGTTCGATTGCCTGGGTAAAACGCTGGATTGCATGCCAGCTGCCCATAGATCTGGCACATCCGTTGTCCAGAATCGCGTAGGTTGGGTTGTGCCGAGGGTTGATGACAGGCGCCATCAGCTTTTGACAGATTGTGTTCTGAAACTGCATCTGATTGGATCAGCTTCTCCTGGATTGCCTTTTTTCCAGGATACTCATATGCATCATGGAATGCCATTAACGCTTGTCCTGTGCTGATGTCTCATGGGATGAGTACCAGCCATGTTCGTTCCATGTCCATGATTGATCCCAGTCTTGGTCTGTCCAACCGGCATAGGTAGGCTCTATGGATGGTGCAGTCTGCTGGATGGCGGGCTGCTCCTCCGTCTTTTCTGCGGTGGCTGCGAACGTCTTGGATTGTCCTTTTTCCTGTCCGCTCTTTCCTTTGCCACTCTCATAGGATGGATAACCTTTGTTTCCATCATAGGGATATTGGAATTTTGATTTTCCTTTCTCTCCCTTCTTTCCTTTGCCTTTTCCCCAATATGCCTGGTCGTAGGGATCATAGTTTTCGTTGGCCATATTGGCCTTTCCGCCAGAACCGCTTTTTCTGAAGGGTTTGAAGCCACCTCGTTGGGGACTGCCCTTCTTGTTTCCTGATTTTCCTTTTCCTTTTCTTTTCTTGAACTTGAAGTTCCGCCCCGACACTTTTCTTGCTATGAACGCATCGTTCTCCTCGAGGACCCAGAACGTCTCTTCATCGTTGTTTGACATGAATCCTTCAAGTCCTTCTTCATCCTCAACCCAGAAGCCTTCTTCTCCTTCATATTCACCTTGTTCGATGATGAAGAATGTGTTGCTTCGGCTGCCTCCTTGAGGTCGGATGGATGGATCTTGGATCGATGTCCTCGTTGTGATGAAGAGTTCATGGTAGTGTGTCTTCAGCATCTCATAGGAATAATTCTCGAGTGAGATGTTCCTCAATGACATTGCACTTGTGAGTCGTTCTCTTTGTTGATCTGACAACTCACTTTGTATAATGAAAAGCTGTGCAATGAGATTATCCCCGAAGGGAAATGCGTCCCGCTGTCTGTCCTGCATTCCTTGGATATATTGTCTGAGGACCGTAGGATCGTCCTCATTTAGCAGGGCTGGAGGCGGTGCTCGAGCACCGGCTGCTTGCTGATGTCGAGCAACTGTTCTTGCATTTGCGTCCTGTACGGACTGTCGAAATGATGGAGACTGTGCCGTAAAGATTGGCATCAGGTCCATCCATGCTGCCTTCAGTCTCATGAATTTTGAGGTAAGAATGAGGAACTCTTGGTTCTGCCTTCTGGGGTTGAAGAAACTGAGGAGTGTACAGATACACGTTGGTCGCACCTTTCAAAAAGTACTTCTTCAGCGTGTTCTTGAAATAGTTGACTCCTTCATCAGGATCTTGCAAAAGGTCATTTTGGAGGACGGCCTTGTACATGTAAGCATCTCCAGTGAGTCTGCTCTTAAGCAATGGACCTCGCTTGGCTGCTTCTACTGTGGTGATTGTCACCCAGTCGTCCACGAGTTCTTCATACCTGAACCAGCTGACTTTTCCGTCGTACGATGGCGGCTGCTTGGCGGTCATCGACAAATTAAGTGTTTCCTCCGTGTAGCTCGGCTTTGCCGAACTTGTATAGGCTTCCATGAAGCCTTCTCCATCTGATGACATCTTCCCTTGGATCTCTGCGGAAAACCCGCTCCGCTACAAATTGAGGCCCACTGCCCCAGGTGCCTATCCCCGGAGGGAACTGGAACCCTGTGGTTGTTGGTCCCTGGAGAGAGTCCAATATGCCAGTAACGGATGATTGGAGGATGGATTGTCCCTGGTGGATTGTTTGATGGATAATCCTGTAAGCGGCCTGCAATGGCTCTTTTGTCCTCACGCTCGGATGGTCGTGATTATGCAAAAGGGGCCTTGAGCCAAATGTTGCGGGAGATCAATGGTCTGAAAAACAGAACACAGGGGGGGGGATCTGAACAACGTGCGCACAAGCAGCACAAAGTAGCAATGGAGGCTTCACTGGCAACTGTTTGCACCGACAGGGAAAAGTGGTGAGATACAGAGAGAAAGAAGAAAGATTGTTCCGAGCTTGGCGAACCGCTTGATTTGAAAGTGTCACAGCAGCAAGAAACACAGGGTGCTGAAGCATGGCGATCAAAACAAGTTGAGAATTGCACAGCTGCAAACCAGGTCGAGCCCCCAAAAGAAACTGCCCAACGCACAGGATGTGTCTGGCTTCACTACAATTCCGATGGACGCCAGGCTGCACTCTGAAAGGCCGTGGGTTTTTCAGCTGGCGCTTCGCTTCGGGCCGTTTGAGGAGAAGCTCTCGAATCTGGCCTTGCCCTTCGCCATTTCGGCCTTGTTCACTGGCATTCTCATCTGGCTCGCCGGGTGATGCTGCGGGAAAAAGCGCGGTTTCGCGCGGCAAAGCGAGCGAAACCGAGTGCGCGAGGGGGGCTGATTCGCAGTTTGCCAGGACCTGCGAGCAGCTCAGGAGCAGCTGGACGAAGCACGGAGGCATGTCGAGCATGTCCGACATGGCAAAAAGATTTAAGTTTGCTCCAGGCGCTTGCGCGAGCAAGACGAGGCGCTGCACCCGAGCCACGCAAGCCACGCGAGCCAAGCGGCCGCTCAGGCGGTGCAACTGGGCCGCCGGGCCGTCACAGAGGAGCGCCAGGAGGCCAGCCACAAGCTGCAGGCGCGGCTTGGCGCGCCCGTCAACGCCCGGCGAAGCCTCGTGCGCGCTTGGGCGCTGAGGTGCTGCGCTCGAAGCTTCGGCAGCTGTGGCAGGCCGTTGAGGCCATCCCAATCGCTCGCTCTGGTGGTTGATGCCATGTCGAGCCAGGCCTGAAGCGCCGCTAAAAAAATGCCGACGTTTCACAGAAAGCGAATGAGTCGGAACTCACAAGGCTTTGGTCAGAATGATTGCCGGAGACTCAAGTCACATATCCTTTCCAATGTATCCCAATCCCTCCCGGTTGTACGCCCCAAGATTTGGCCAACTCTCTGGCATGCAAGGTCGGCTTTCGCATGTGACACAAAGCACTTGCTTCCGCCTGCCATGCGGTTGAGTTGGAGACGGGCCCTCGCCGAGTTGCACTGGCCCAGCCCCGGCTGTCATGTCACCTCGGCATCTTAATTGCAATTCGACTCGGGTGGAGTTGAGCGCTTTTGAGAGACACGGCCACACGCTTCAACTCTTCCGCCCCTTTCCGATGGAGTGGCTCTGAAGCTGGCACTTCAGGCGCTCGCGCTGGGCCAGTCTATACGATTGTTCGACTTGAGTCGCATCTCCACGCGGCTCGAAGTGCGGCGAGTGTTTCAGGTGCCCCTGTGCTTCGCAGGCTCGAAGTCGACGGGTTCCGGGCTCCACGTGTCCGAGTCAGTCTCCCTTTATTGAAACCAGATGTGACCAGCATGGAGCTTTTCATGTCGTAGCTACGTCAACTCGGTTCCAAGTTGCTGGTTTTCAATCGAAGATGTGCCTTGCTTGCGCATTTTGCACATCGATCGCAGCAGGGTCAGGCTCAAATCATCAAATATCAAGCCTTGAAGTCCAGATGTCGGATGATGAGCACGTGGAGGCTGCCCAAACAGACGCAGCCGTAACATCCCACCCCTCGCGGGGAGGCAACAGAAAGCAGCATGTGCACGTCACAGGGAGCTTCATACACGGAGCTGAACAAGAGGTGCTGGAGTTCAGAGCTCGGCATGTGCAAGGTGTAAAAGCCATTATGAGGAGTTACTATTTGGCCAACATCATGGCACTTGTGGTACTTGTGGATGCATTCTGCACCTGCAACGACATTGACGCAAGAGCTGCAGGTGTCACAGCCCCTCCCGCTTACAATGCCATCTCAAATGTGTGCTTGGTGCTGTACACTCTTGAGGTGGTGGGATTGCTGTGGATCACCAGCAGGAACCCTCTGCTTGATTGGATCATGCTGCTGGACATTGGTATTGTTGTTTGCGGCTGGGTGGAGATCATCATGGACGCCATCGAAGCTGGCTTTAGTTTTAACATCGGAGTGGTGCGCGCACTACGCTTGGTGCGCATTTTCCGGCTCATCCGCCTTCTCAAGAAGATCCGACCCCTACGTGAACTGCACAAGCTTGTCATGATGATGGCAACATGTTTCCGAGCATTGCTATGGTCGTTCCTGCTTTGCTTCATCGTGATGACTGGTTGGGCTATGCTAATTGTCGAAGTTATCAACCCGATTGTGAACGAGGTGCATGAGCAGGAAGGTATTTTCACCGACTGCGATCAGTGCCTGCGAGCAACGTCCTCGGTCATGGACGCGAACCTGCTGCTATTCAAGACGGTCATTGCGGGTGACAGCTGGGGTCAAATGGCAGTGCCAGTCATACAGCATTATCCCGCCACTGCTTTTGTTTTTGTAGGCTCCTTGTTAACCCTGGTTTTTGGAGTGCTCAACTTGATTGTTGCCGTTGTGGTGGACCAATTTGCCGATGCACGCCTGAACGATGTGGAAAATCTGGCAGAGGAGATGGAAGACGAGATCGAGAACGACAAAAAAGCGCTCGCCAAGCTGTTTGCACGAATCGATATAGATGGAAGTGGCCAGCTGACGCTTGAAGAGCTGATGACTGGCGCCCGAAACGATGCAGCTTTCCAAAGCCGGCTGCGCGTCATGGACATCGACGAGAACGATCTGCAGCAGCTGTTCTCCATGATCGACGGGGATCAATCCGGCACCATCGAAGTGGCGGAATTCATCGGGCCTCTGAGCCGCTGGGCGCACGACTCCAAGACGGCGCCCCGCTTCATCAAGTACAACATGCTGCAGACCATGCATCTGCAGGAGGACCTCTACGACCTTTCCATGGAGTGCTTCAGCAACTTATCCACCAGGGTGGACGATCTCGCGTCACAGGTGCGATTGCTGCTGAGTCTGGAGCCTCATGGGCCCAACGATGGCTTCGCAACTCCGAGGACTGAGGAGGAGGAAAACTCAGGCAGCAACAGCCCCGGCTCAGTGGCATCACGTTCCTCTGACGTTCAGCTGGAGCCTCCGAGAGCGACTCCTTCGCAGCAGCTTATGTCTCCATTGTCTCCGAAGGAAAGCGAGAAGAGTCCAAGTCCCATCGACGCTGAGGCGCGTGCAGTGTTCAAGAGTCCGACAACTGCGACTGCCCGAGAGATTGAGGCACTGCTAGACTCTGCGATGGCAAAGCTTGAGGGCAAGATGACTATGCTACTTCATGGCGGTGTCAAGCTTCGGGTCCCGGCTTCACCACGTGGTGAGCGTGGTGAAGACACGTCCCCGGACCATGCCCACAAAGTGGGCAAGAAGATGATGATGCACCCCGAAGCCTTCCGGCAGATGTACATGGGACACCGACGTCCATCCATAAAGGAGTCTCCGGCGGGTTCCAACAGCCTCGCAGACTGGCTGAGCCGCGCCCGGGGACGGGAGCCGAAAGAGTCCGGCCGCAGCACCCCGGCGCTCTCGCCCACGGCCTCGGTCTCGGCGGTGCCGAAAGGTCGTCGCCGCAGCGTGCACGCGCGCTCCCGGGTGAGCACGCATGAGAATGCCTCGCCTACACTGGACGGCAGATAGAGTCACGAGTCTTTTCAAGGACCCACGAACGTGGGGCTCTCAAGTTTCACAGTCCAACGCCTAGACTGGACAAGTGTTCTCGAATCGCTGGAAATTCGGGGCCACGAACCCACACGTGCGCAGACCACGCACACACAGAGAGACAGAGAGACACACCCGTGAAGGCCGCTATGGTGCGCGCGCACACACGCGCAAGCACAAACAGAAGGGCGGAGAGGCAAGCATTGTCCCAGGTTGAGACTAGCGTTAGTTGATTTGCCAATATTTTACATACCCACGTAGGCCGCGATTTGCGCAGGTTCTGAGATGGCAAGCTGCGTCACTAGGTTGCACAATGCATCGCCCGCAAGCAGCTTTTGGCCAGAGTGAGTTTCACCCATTCGCAGTGTTTGAGTCCGGTTGGCCGCCATGTCGCAGGAATCCGAGCCGCCGCCAAAGTCGCCAGAGACACGAAAGCGCACGTGGGTCGCAGTGACTGGGGATTTCATCCGCTCAAAGGCTGCCCTGTCGGAAGGGGATGACGGCACATGCCGTGACAGATTTCGAGTTGTAGCCGCCAGATTCCTGAGGAGCGTTTACTTGGCCAATTTTATCGTGATTGTGGTCTTCGTTGATGCTTACTGCACATGTAGGGATATTGATTCACGAGCGGCTCAACTGGAGACGCCTATTGGATTCATTCTGCTTTCGGACATGTGCCTTTTATTGTACAGTGCCGAGCTTATCCTCCAGGTCTACGTGAAGGGCCTTCGTTTTTTGCAAGATTGGATGGTCATGCTGGACACGCTGGTTGTGCTATGTGGCTACGTGGAGATGCTGCTGCTGGACAGGGCCGATCTCGGCATTCACATAAACGTCACCCGCGCATTTCGACTGGTCCGAATATTTCGACTGATCCGCGTGCTGCGGAAGATCCGCACCTTACGGGAGCTGCACAAGCTGGTAACCATGATGGCGACGTGTTTGAAAACTCTGGCGTGGTCATTTCTGCTTTGTTTCCTGGTGATGACGGTATGGGCCATGCTGATGGTTGAAATGGTGCAGCCACTCGTGCTCCAGATGCAGGAGGAGATTGGTACCTTTGACGGCTGTGAACAGTGCCTCAGAGCCCTTTCCTCCGTGATGCATGCAAACTTGCTGCTGTTCAAGACAGTCATCGCAGGTGACGGCTGGGGTGAATTGGCAGTGCCAGTGATCGAAGAGTATCCTGCCACCGCCTTCATCTTTGTCGGAGCTTTGCTAACCTTAGTCTTTGGAGTTCTCAACCTGATTGTTGCTGTTGTTGTCGACACATTTGCGGATGCACGCCAGAATGACGTATTTTCTTTGGCAGAAGAGATGGAAGATGACATTGAGGTGGACAAGAAGACATTGACGAAGCTTTTCCAACGGATCGATGCCGATGGCAGCGGGCAACTCACACTCGAAGAGTTGATCGAAGGCGCCCGCAATGATGCAGCATTCCAAAGCCGACTGCGTGTCATGGACATCGATGAGAACGACTTGCAGCAACTCTTTCAGATGATTGACGTTGATGGCTCTGGAACGATCGAGGCTGCAGAATTCATCGGGCCTTTGAGCCGCTGGGTGCACGACTCAAAAACGGCCCCGCGGTTCATCAAGTACAACATGCTGCAGACCATGCATTTGCAGGAGGACCTCTACGATCTTTCCACGGAATGCTTCAAGCACTTGTCTGAGAGGGTTGAGGTGCTTGCAAATGAATTCCATGCATTCAAGCAGGTGCCTGTCCCTCAAAGCCCAAGTGTTATGAGCGATGAGAGAGTAGCACAGAAGCACGAGGAGAAGGATGCAGAGGGCATAGCATCTCGAACCGTCTCATTGGGCGGAATTGGCCAAATGGTCGACTTTATTGAGGACAAGGTGATGAATGAACTGGGTGAATTCTTGGAACAGCCTCAAGCTTCCCTGGACGCTCAAAAGTTGCAAGAGTTGCTTGGCATGGCATTCTCTCTCCCCCAGAAGGTCAAAACAAATCAGAGGCTAGGCTCCTTCCGTGGCACAGGGAGCCCCCCGGCTGCGATCTTTGGCCTCGAGTTTGTTTATTCGATCTGAGGCCGCGGCGGGCCAGGCCGATGGACGACCGGAAGTGGGACCATTTGTTGGAGGCGGCGGTGTCCAAGTTAGACATGGCCTTGGAGAGGATGGAGTCCTTGTCGAGGTCTGTGGAAGAAGCCGCTTGCCAAACCGAGTTAAGGTCCGTGTCAAGTGAGTGAGAGTGGCTGCCCTCGCTCTGCCGGCTTCGCTCGCTTTGTGTTTTGTGAAAGCTGAGCACGGCGCATCACAGGGACGCACGGGACCGCGAAGGTTTGGAGGAAGGGGAAGCACGGTTCGTAAAAAATCCGGCAATGCAAGCTTTGCGTCAGTCCATGAACTAGGTTTCGCGCTCCAGGATTGGCTTTGAAGTGATTCTGGGAGTTTTGCAGGGCAGCCTTTGGCAGAAGGGTTGCTTGCAACACTTGTTTGGCTTCCGCGTAACTGCCTAGTCAAAGAGTCTTCGCACACGGGCTAATCGTTTCTTTGCGTTTTTTTTTAAAAGGGAAACCAGAAGGAAAGCTGAAAGCATGCACCCACACCGTTTCAGGGGCTCCCCCCCTGCACAAATCGCTCCAATTCCCACCATTTCAGGGCTGGCCTGCAGCACGCTTGTGAGCACATGAGTCTTGCTGCAATCGATGTGCGTCGTACTGAGGTTAAGAAAATGGAGCTGCCGATTGAACAGAATCGCAGCCGGAGAGATCGTAGCGGGGTGTCTTGGCTCAAACTTAGGTCAGATCTGAGTGGTCTGATGTTCTAGGTCATTTCAATTTAAATTAAATATATATATAATTTACATAGATTTGTAAATATATAGATATATATATATATATGTGTGTATATGTATCGGTCCAATTGAGCCAAGGTTTCACCCGCGAGGGACTCCAAAAAAGACAGCAGGAGGATGAACATGATCAATTCAGACGCATTCCGACACTTGTACCTGGACAAGAATCGGAAGAACAAGCGCACATATTCCTTGTCAGCGCCCATCGGAACCTTCGGACAGGCCTCGGCACCTATGCCAGTTGACATGCAAAAGATCGCTGCGGCTGCAAGAGAGGCGGATTTGCAGGAGCAGAACAGCTCCCCTGGGCCGATGTCTCCGAGTCGCACTGGATCATGGCAGCAGTCCGAGGAGTCAGACGTTTCAACCGCTAGGCGGCCCAAAGGGTCTCAGTCCTAGCTCGCAAAACCCTGGCCCGTCTTGCTGGGCAAGCTTTGTTTGGCCAAGACTAGACTCACTCGCTCGCGTGCCAAAGAGTGTCCATGAGGGCGGAGATGCATGTTGCATGTTGTCGGGGCGTTCAGCGCTCAAGGGCGCAAAAAAAACTCTTGGACCAGTCAAGCCCTGCGCCGATGCCATGTTCTTTGAGGGGGAGGTATGCGCGCGCCACACAGGCCAATCAAGGCACAGAGAAACACTCCAGCCACCAGCTTGACTTTGCACCCGCTACTTGATGGCGCAGAAGCTGCCGGGATCATAGAAACGATCAAGGCGCTTGGGCCACGACTTAGGCCAGTGTGCAATTCGAGTGTCGGCATCAAATTCAAATCCGAGGTTGCTGCTGGTTGCGCTTGGCCAGGCAGAGGGACTGGGCCATAGATAGTTGCTTTTTCTTGCAGAGACGCCCAACGACATCGACCCCAATTTCTCTGTGGAGTGGTCCTGGCAGCGCTGAGCAAGAGGCACTTGGCAGCGAAACGGGAAACTCAGGAACCGCTTCGTCTTCAGCGGCTGCGCTGCTTTCAGCTTTGTGCGATTTTCCTGGTCTTCATTTTCTTGAACAGCGCCCTCACTGGCATGGGATGGGCAGAAAAAACTTATTAGGGGCAGCAAGAGCTTACTAGGGACCAAAAACAATTCTTATTGGGGATCAAAACAAAACTTATTCTCGTTCCCATGGGGAGGAAGGAAGGAAGGAATCAAGGAATCAAGGAATCAAGGAATCAAGGAATCAAGGAATCAAGGGATCAAGGAAAGAAGAAAGGAAGAAAGGAAGAAAGGAAGAAAGGAAGAAAGGAAGAAAGGAAGAAAGGAAGAAAGGAAGAAAGGAAGAAAGGAAGAAAGGAAGGGGTCAAGGTCAAGGAAAGGAAAGAAGACAGGAAGTAGAGGAAGGACGTTTGCACCATCTCAATATCGGTTTTGGGAATCGGCGGACGGCGGACGCACCCTTTGAATCACCGCTTCGATGTGGCCAACTCCCCGGTTTTAATGTTAGAGATGAGCGCACTGGTCTGCACCGGTGGGCTCCCCCCCCCCGTTGACCTCCCCAACCTCCCCCGTTGGTTTTTTCAATCAGAGATTGACGCACCCTAGACCAAAACGAACAGGTAGACAGAAAGAGAACCCTGCTACGGAACCTTAGGGCTGACATCAGAAATGGCCACGAGTCGGCCATAAACTTTTCGCAGGAAATCCAAATAGGCTTGCGTGAGACCCAACAGCAAGTCAGAATGCTACTTGGGGAACTCTGCAAAAATGATAATCGAAGAAGTTGTTTTTTCTCTCTCTCTTTCTCTCTTTCTCTCTCTTTTTCTCCTTTTTCTCCATGTGTATTTCTCTTTATCTTTCTCTTTTCTTTATCTCTTATCGTGCGAAAGTGCTGCACCTACCACAAAATGATTTCTTTGATTCCTGATAAGTTTCTTTTGGTCCTCTGACTTGTCATTTTCAATAGCATACTGGTTTTGTATTTTACAACATGATGTATTTATCAACCATCTAAAACCCCAATGCATGAGTGTCTCAGTAGCGCAGCCTCGTTGTACCGACTGCGCATGGCTCAAGAAAAAGCGCGCTGTAGGCAGGGTTCATAGGTGACCCTTCCTGGTTGTTTAACCCGTTCTATAGGTTATCAGCCGTAAGCGGCTCTTTGTACAGAGTTGTACGCCATGGATGGCGATCCTGGACTATCTCCTACTGAGGTGCATCCCACCCCTGATGAGCACGCGGGCGATGACGACGCCTCGCAATATCAACCGACTAGTCATGCAAACTCCCAAGTGGCCAGGGAGCTCATCAGGAAGGGACAAGCTTTGGGCAGTCAGGGCCCCGAATCGCTTCGATCTCGGAGCGACCGTGGGAGGACTGGGCGGTCTGGTGCTCGATCTCCTTCACCTGTTGCGTGGACGATGCTGCTACCGGAGACGGTTGGCCTGGTGATGATGGTGATGGTGGAGGTGACAAGGACAAGAAGAAGAAAAAGAAGAGGAAGAAGAAGGACCGTAGCCGACGCAGGCGACAAGATCCATCATCTTCTCCCTCGTCATCTTCATCGTCAACTTCAACTGCATCGGATGAATCGTTTCGACGAAAGCTACTGAAGCACTTAGGTAATTCGAGCGATCCAACAACGGAACGCGTTCGTGTAAAGGAGGGTGACAGAATTCAGATTCCCCGATTCCCGAAGCCCGAACAGTACCGTAATTGGAGGATCAAAGTTAGGGATGCTGTTGTTGCTACCTCCGATCAACCCGAGAAGGCATTTGAGTGGATTGAGGCAACTTGGATCCCAGGTCAAACTGTTGAAGTCCTTCGTGATTCAGGAATGTTTGTTCATCTTGACGCAAAGCTGGCATCGGCATTGACGAACATGCTGGAGGGCGACCTCGCGCGACAAGTCGACATTTTCAAAGAGCAAGAAGCAAAGGAAAAACGCTACGCGAGGGGACGCCAGATTCTTTTGATGGTTCACAAGCACTTCAGCACGAACATCAAACATGGTGCAATCTACGACTTCGAGGACCTGCTCTCTGTCCAGCTCATCAACGAGGACCTCAAGAACTTCATGACGAGGTGGGACACGGTCATCGCTGGGATGGGCAATGAGCAGAATGAGAAAACCCTTGACGCGCTGTTCCACCGCCAGATTCGAAAGTTTCGGCCTCTCAGTCACGATCTCAATGAATACGAGCGGGCTGAGGAAGGGACGGAAAAGCACTCCTACAAATTCTTGTTCACATGCGGGACGCTATGTCGAGCAACACGACGGGACGTGGCAGGACTCCATCGAACAACCCTGCTGTTCCTGGAATCCCTAAGGGTGTATGTGTGAAATTTCAAACTGGCCAAAGCACCTATGGTTCAGACTGCCGATTCGAAAATGTGAAGGCACCGAAAGGTAAGGGGAAAGGCAAGAAGGGCGGATCAAGGCCTCAGACCCCAAGGAAGTATCGTTCGCAGAGTCCCCCTGGTTCAAAGCCCCAGGTGTGCAAGTTCTTCAAAGCGAACAGATGCGAGGGAGGGAAAGACTGCCCGTGGCAGCACCCCGCAACTTCCAAGGCAGCTCCAGCCCCAAAAGCCGACAAGAACACTAGTGGAGACACCCCCAAGACGTCGCCGAGAGACAAGAAAAAGAAGAAGAAGGGTAGCAGGCCTTCTTCTCAGGATTCGAAAGATTCGAAGGGTTCTCAATCCCTCAAGTCTCCGCGATCGTCAAAAGGCAGCAATGCAGCGGTGTGCCTCCTTCAGGCGATGGTGCGCGCCGCGACCTTCGACTCGGTCGCCTCGCATCCTTGCTTGCCTAGTGTGAATCATGATGTTTTTCAGGGTATGCCATGTATCAAGAAGTGTGTGCAATTCTCGGATTACCCATCTATTGCGAACTATGAGACTGACGGCGAGCTTTGGCCCTACACTGCCTCGTCGAGAAGGTTTGCACAAGAATTTCCTGTGAATTACATTCCAAAATTCGATGAGAGAGCCGTTTCGGACGCAACTCTTGTCGGTGCTATGCATGAATCAATGGTGAAGGACATGCTCAACGGCACGAAGACTTCATGCAAGTTTCAATGCGACTCTGATTTCGGCTGTGATTCCTGCATCCCCGCAGGCCTATCGGCCGAGCCAGAGAAGCCTGATATTTCCCCCAAAAAGGGAAATGCTGCTGTTGCTTTATCTACCACTGGATTCTTCCCACATTCCATGGATTGCGGATACGGGCGCTGCTCAGGATTTGCTGTCGAGAACGGACGCGGAGATGGAGAGTATTTACGAATCGTCCCAACCGCTGAAGTTTTCCACCGCCAATGGGAATATTTTCGGTACTGAGCAGGCCAATGTCAAGATCAAACAGACCGATAGCGTTGTTCGGCCATATGTTCTTGATAAAACTCCATCCGTGTTGTCCGTGGGTATGAGATGTCTCAAAGACGGATATGACTTCGTTTGGAGAGCACACAGCAGGCCTTATTTCAGACTCCCGGATGGTTCACGCATCAAGCTCGAGGTCAAAGACAATGTTCCATTCATCCCTTCAGAGACCCAGCTTTATCACAAAATATCCCAAAGGTTACGACTTTGCCATCAGCTCCCATTGAAATCGAGGACGATGTTTTAGTCATTGACGAAGAACCAGAAGCTGTGGAGGAAGTGTGTGACCAATGAGGATGATGGGGACAAATTGGGAAACGATGATTTCTTGCTTGAAGATGCCATCAGCCACCCGGAAGGTGAGGTCATTGAAGAATGCCATGACATTTCCTCAGAAGATGCGCCTAAGGTCATCGCTTCCGAGTTTGTGTCTAAGGCCGTAGAGAAGGACGCTCCTCGCGAACGTGGTGAAGCTGCTTTGCGTGATGAGGCGACCTCGCTTCAGCACTTGATGTGTCACACTCCCAAGAACCCCTTTTGCGAGACTTGTAACAGGGCGAAGAATCCATCCAGACAAAAGGGAGGCTCCACACAAGTCGAAGCTAAGAAGTTCGGTGATCACCTTACGGCGGACCATCTCATTACTTCGGATGATCGTGAAATCGGCATTGATCAATCTAGAGTTGCTCTTGTGGTTCGAGATGTTGCCACTGATTTCCGTTATGTATACCCAGCCGCACGGAAAACTTCTCATCAATGTGTGATGGCGTTCAAACACTTTGTCCGCGCCGGGGAATCCGTGAACATATTTTACAGTGATCGGGCTCCTGATTGGAATGGAAGCATGTTCAAAGTACAAACTCCATTTCCAAAACGAATGCCATTGCTGAGAGGAACGTCAGGGCAATTCTCGAGGGCACGAGGACCAACCTGGAACAAGCTGGTTTACACCATTCATATTGGCCACACGCGGCCAAACACTACTGCATGGCGCGCAACATCACGGACCACCCAGATTATCACTCACCTTGGAAGGTACGTTTTGGGGAAGATTTTCCTGGACCATATTTGCTTTTGGTTGCCAAGTCAACTTTTGGACTGGCCCGAGGAATCGACCCAACAAGCCTTTGAAGTTGAACCCACTTCCAGGGCTGGAATATTTC